CTTTTCTCCAGATATTTCCACTTAACTGATCCTTTTTTATTGTTCTAACACTACTTCTGATAAGTATTTAAATATTTTATGAATTCTCACATAGTGCAGCAATCTTTTGATCTACTTTTCCAACTTTGTAAGGATTGTATCCTTCATAGTCTGAACTTTTCTTATACTTTATTATGAATTTTTTCATTCCTAATGAAATTATTCATATATTTAGAATTCCACTCTCCTTGTTTATTGTGTGAAGTATAGGCCATAATGCCTCTAAAACGTAGATACTTCCAATAGTCTACATTCCTAAAATACTTAATATGCAACTGACAATTTAAATGACATAGAATCTTTGGAGAAGTCACATAGATTTTTGGAAATAAAGTTAAAGAAGCAGAGCTTAGCACTTATTTACTTATTTGAGAGCCAGAGAAACAGAATGACAGGCAGTGTTCAAGCCCTCCAACACCCAGCTCTCCCATTGGGGTTGTAGAAGCTCAGTTACTTGAGCCAGCATCACCATGTCACGAAGTCTACATTCTCAGGGAGCTCTAGTCTGGAGCTGCAGCAGGGACTCCAACTCAGGAACTCTGTCATGGAAAGTCAGCGCACTGACCACTAGACTGAAACCTGGTACTTGAATTTATCTCTTAAGTCATAAGTAAGGTTATGTAAAATATAGGTTTTGAGTATGAAATGATGGTTTGTTCAATCTTAACGGTTGGTTTTTCTCAATTGATTACATGAATGCTAACAAGGATACCCAAATAATTCTCATGATAGTGATTAATATTAAAATGATAACAATAAAAATGTTCCAATTAACAAAAGAACAAGTTATGATTTCTAGACATAATTATGTCCTTATTTTCCGAGTGTAAAAGGCAAGAGATCAGATTCCTTGATCCAATGTGCTTACATATCATTTAGGGCAACCTGATTAATTGATTCCCTTATTACAAATGTCACTCGCCATATTTATTTCTAGAAGAGAAGGTTGTGCTAACCCCAAGTGACAAATGTAAGATAACTTTGATGTTTACTTCTAAAGAAACAGTTTGGACATTTTCTCCATGAGTATATAATCACCATGAGATAAATGCATGGAAGTAGAAGTAGCAGCCAAAAACACTTATTGCATTTACTACCAAATTATTTACACATAATAATCTGAATACAGCTGAATAGTAGTGAATATGAAGTATATGAATAATATGGGTATAGACAATATATTCACTGCAACTAACTGCACCTGTCCTTTTGCCGCAATGAGGTTTACAACCGGCCTTAGCAGTGTATTTCACCTGCAATCAAAACAATTTTCTAGGGCCTGCGCTGCAGTATACTGGTTAAAGCAATTGATGCCACCATCCCATATTGATGCTAATTTGAGTTAATGTACCTTGGAAAGCAACAGAGGATGGCCCAATTACTCAGGCTCCTGCAACACCAAAAGAGACCCAGAAGAAGCTTCTAGCTCCCACCTTCAGAGTAGCATAACTCTCTCTCTCTCTCTCTGAAACTAAAACACTTAAATAGAAAATGGTTTATCATTGAAGAATGTAAAAAGCAGAAGATTATATACATAAGGTGTGTTTGAAAGAAATGCCTGGGAAATGGGAGGCAAAGGTTGTATCCGGACAGGAGAGGTCTCCAGTTCTCATGGGTTACTGACATCTAGAAAGCAGAGGTGGAGAAAGGAAGCTACTATCAGAAAGTCTGAGGCAGAGCCCTTAGTGAGAAAGTTTCGGTGAGGACAGAGGGCACACTGTGTTCCTGCTTCATTCACTTGCTGCCTGGGACAGCTTGGATCTGCTGTGTTCTGATGCCCCAAATGGGCATCTGGCTGGCAAGGAAGTGATGTTAGCATGGCTGGGGAACAAAGTAGCATATTTTCAGGGATGCTGCAGTAGTTCTCTCAACTGTGACTTAAATTATAACAGTTGAATGGAATGGGACACAGGCTCTTGAAACACGGTAAACTCCTGTGATGCATTATAGGTATTTTCAATCCCTGAAGATAAGAAGGAAAACATTTATCATTGTAATAAACAAAAAACTTCATGTAATCAGGTTCTAAATGTATGTTCTCAAAGGTTAGAATGCAAGTTAATAAAATTATGTAAAAAAAAAATCCTTGAGCACAAATCTAGAAATTCATGGAAAATTATTTGAGAAAATCATGCCTGTTTCTCAAAATATATAGTGATCTAAAAAAGACAGAAGCTACAAGAATCTCATAGATTTAAAAGACCTGAAGGTGGCAGGCACACTATCACTTTATAATAAAAAGTCCCAATATTTAAAGTAATAAATGAATATTCTGAAGTCAATTTAGAGAGCTTAGAGGGAAGATGTAGATAAATTAACTATAATGCAAATCCATTCTGTTATTGGCAAAAGAGGAAGTATATCATCATATTATTACTGAAGTTTACTGTCATATTACTTCTGTGCTACTGGGAAAAGAACGTAGCGATTAAATGAGCCTGTGACTTTAAATTCCCAAATGCTTCTTCCAGCAAAAAAAGATAAGTCATTATTTTTCATAGAAATTTCATTTATTATACTCCTGCTTCAAGGAAAGGTCTAATGCTTAAATGTATCAAGCCTGTCTGTATGCTACCGATGTTCCATGCTAGGCAGATGTAACCTAAAATTTCAGTGGTTGGCTACATCTTAGCAAGTCTAATTAGGTAAGAAAAATTTCAAGAAACTCACAGTGGCAGGAAATCTTAAGACTTCAGGATTATAGTACAGTAGTTAAACAATAAATATATGTTATAAATTTAGAAAAGCAATAGGAATTTATTTGGAAAAATGTGCAGTAATATTTCAGCAGTGTATACACCACATGTTAAATATTGCAGGATAATTACTTTAATAGCTAACTAAAGACATTAAAGCTTCTTGTTTAAGAGTGTTTCAACAGAAGCACAACATTCATTCATATCCATCTATGAATTTCTGTCGTGTTGGAATCAGCATGATACTGCCTATGTCGAGTACTGGTGTTAGCATCAGAAGTTAATGATATTGCCTTGGTCATGTTGACGTCTCAGATGTTATTCTTCCTTGTGTGAAGTAATGGAATGCAAGGATAAGAATTATCCTCTGTTAAGGATGTTGCAAAACAAGCACCTGCTCTTTATTCAATTTATGCCTCATATGGGGAAGCTAGATTTTTTTTTTTTTTGAGGAAGAACTTTCTAAGACTGTGTGATGAGTTGGCATTCATGAGAAGAACTGATGAGATTTTTGAGTTGAAAACTGAGGTACATGTTATCCAACATCTTTCAATTTGTTTTCTCAAACACTAAATGAAAATACTGTGAGAGCTGCAGAGCAGCTATCAGTTGGAGTAGATTAGGTTAGGGTGTTACAACAAATTCTCCCAAATCTCTGATTCACAATCCGGAATATTTACTTCTGGCTCATTCTTAGTGTCCATTGTATTGTAGCTGTGGTTCTCTCCATGTCACCTTCACTCCAGCAGGGAAGAAATTAAACACTCTGAATATGGTGTATCTTCTGGTGGAAGGACAAGAGACATGAAAACGGTTATTGACACTAAACCTTCCACTCAGTAATGATACAGCTCAATTTTATATGTCGTTAGGCAAATAAGTCATAGGGACATGTCTAAGGTCAATAGAAGAGAGGTGTGAAATTCTCGGGCATGAAGAAGTTACAGGTCACGTGCCTAAGTTAGACAAAAACAGCAAGAGGGGAGGAAAAGCATTGAAGATAACAATAAATTCAACTTCTGTTAATAATAACAATAGGGCTTTGTGAAGATGGATTGAGGCAGTATAATTTGAAAGTTCACTATAGATCGAGGGGAGGCTGCATTTGCCAAGATGTTTGGTTCCAAAGCAAAAGATACCTAAATGGATAATTTACAAAGGTTAGCTAAAGATATTGAGACAAAACCTTAGATATTTACTCCTGGAAAAGAGCCCGACTCTGAAGTATATGTAAATAACTTAACAGGCTGTACATTTACTTGTTTTTTCCAACATTAGTGTTTACTGTTTGCTGTTCACTGGAACTTTAGAGTGTTTGTTGTTGTTTTAACTAGCTACTAAACTAGTGACTAAGACTAGAATGATCTTACTCAAAGGAAGATGGGGTTATAATGGTTAACCATGCGAAGCTTGTTATTTCCTATGAGTCGTAAGATGGAAATCTATACTACTGCACATTTCTAAGGCAATCTGGGCTGATTCTTTATGCTTGTTAAGACTTGGATGCAGGAAACAGCTAGAGAGACAGAGGTCACCTGAATTATGATTACAAATGGGTTGATGCTTTGGCTAGTTACCCAGGCTTTCTCATTTACAAAATAAAGCCAGGGTTGTTGTGATCATTCAAGTCTTACTTCTTGAAAATCTGATACTTATGCTCCCAGTGCTACTTGTGTATGGATCAATGAGTCACCCATTCATGATTTCCTGAATCACTTAAAAGGAGCGAGTATAGGAGTATAAATTACCTTTCTTTGAAACATTTCCCATTCATCTTTCCTTAAGTGCTCTTCTCTATGTATATAGTTTCATAAATTTTTCTATGCATATATTTTCATGAATATTATAGGATTGTCAAATGCACCTTGACCTGTTAATTTTTATTCTTGGACTTGGTGGTTTGTGGTCATTAAACATGATTGTAGAGAAGGTGTTCAAATCTGTTCACTTATACAATCCATTATTTGTATGTTTCCTTTTGTATGGTTGTGAGGCGAGTCAAAATCTATCTTGTTTTTCTTTCATTGTATGCATTTTTTGCAGCTAATATTTAAATTTTGAGCATTTTAATATTGGGAAAAAATACAAGATGATGGAAGTGTTAGTCTTACTAATTAGTGCTATTGAGTTTGTCACTGTTACCACTCTCTTTGCCATTATGCTTATCTTAAAATATTTCTAAATGTATGGATAAAATATTTATATATATTATACATATGTATTAGTTCAACTCTCTGACATCAGTTTTTTCTTTGAATTGTTTAGTGTTGATAAAACAGATGATGAAGATGATGAGGATTTGACGGTGAATAAAACTTGGGTCTTGGCACCAAAAATCCATGAAGGAGATATCACACAAATTCTCAACTCATTGCTTCAAGGATATGACAACAAACTGCGTCCAGATATAGGTGGTGAGTTTGTGTTATCAGCCTGAGGTTTTGCTTGCTATGAAAAATCTTACTAATGGTCATTAATCATATTACTTGAGCATCTGAAGTAGGTCAGAGAGCCTTCTGGATTTGAACATTATTCGTAGGAATGGTCAGTTTGCGGCGTTCATAGTTTGAAGAAAAAAAAAAACAACCTATAAAGATATTTAATATAATTATTTTGTAACTTCTACAGTAAGAGTTGCAATAGGAGGATTTTGTTAAAGTACCGAAAAGGTTGAGAAATATGATCTAATATTTAAAAAGTAAGAATTCCAGTAGTGTGTCTATTATGTACTGTTTGAAAAATAATAGTATGATTCATGTAGAAAACAAGCTTTGTTCTTCAAAGCAATCAATTGTTATCCTTTGCATTTATGTGTAAAACTTATGAAATAGCAAAATCTTCCTTATGACTCTTTAAAACAAGGAAACATTAATAAGCAAAGAATTTCACTGAACTTGGCTTTAAATCCATAATCAACATACAAAAGTTGAACTCTTTATCAAGTGGAACTTTTCCCACACCAAATTAATGAACATTATATGTTGCTTAGTTTGTATTAGTGTTTTCTATAAAGAAAAATTTGCATGTGTCTTTTAAATAGACTTCCAAATTAAGGAGTTTAAATATATTTCTCTATTAGAGAACTATCTGATGTAATTTTATGTGAAGTTTTAAAAGTTCTATTCAAAGGTTGAAGGAATGGATAAGCTATGGAATTCTGTTTAGCACTGTATGGTGACTATACAAAAATAAACGTATAAAATACTTATTTATTAGACATTTTAAAATTTAGATTAAATTGTAAATTTTAAACAAGTGGACATTAATGGAAGAGAAAGCTTGTACTTACACATCAATACGTATAACTAGTACAGCTTCCTTCCATAAAACAAGTCAATAAGACATAATAATTAATAATGTCTTAATTATTAAATTTTAGGTATCCTAAATTATTTAAGTAAAAAGTAGTATACATCAGAAATCAGAGATGAGAAGAGAGGAAAATGTAATATATTGGTGTTTGTTAGCATAGCATTGATTTCAAAAACTGAAAAAATCATTACAGAAAATCAAATAGTTGGTCAGTATTTTTTCTGACCAGAAGATAAATAAATGCTGCAAAATAAATTTTGAAACTTCCAAGGACTTTGAATTAGAGTTCTGACTTGAGTGCTAATACAGTGGGTTTATGCATTTTAACTAGGAATACCACAGCAGTGATGTTGTGCCATTTATGTGTATTATAGCAGAAAGTGCCGGATGCTGTATCTTTTTTATTACTGGTGTTTTTAATTTTGTATTTTCCCTCCATGACATTTCCAGTTCTGCATTTTCAATGAGTTGCTGTGTTGCTGTGTTGCGAGCACATGCCGTGAGACTGCGTACATGTGTGTCGCCTCACTCTGGCTTGTTTCTCTAGGATTGTTAACGTTCTTTACCTGTGGCAGTTATTGCTTTTCTACTTGCCAGGTGATGACGCATTCCTTTGATGGATTTAATTGTAATTATAGCATAAGGAATAACTGTAAGAGGGTATTTTAAAAGTTTGCATAAAACAGGATTAAAACCTGAGTTTATTTTGGTGGAAAAGATATCTAACATCCCTGCAGGCTTTTATAATATTAAGTTTTTCATAAAGTTTCTGAAAACTGCTCATCATATTGTGACCCTACAATTCTCTGTTTGAGCAATTTGGTGTATCTCTATTGATCAATTATGAACCTATGAAAATAAATGAACACTTGCACCATTCATGTTCTTTTATTGCTCCCCCAATTCACTGAAGTTAGCTCTACATTCCCTCTTCTCTCCAGCGTGACTTTATTCTTCACTTTGCACAGTATTTTTCAAGTATTTGTGCTTATGCTTTCCTTATTTTTAATATTTTTTTTGTAGAAGTGAGATTATTACCAGCAAATATCTGATTATTGAAATATTTCATTTCTAACTTGCCTTCTATTTGTTCCCATTCTCATGACAAACAGGTCATTGACTTATGCTTAATTCTTTACATATTTATTTGCAGAGCTGAGAAGATAAGAAAGATGGTCTACTTTAAATGCTAATTTCTATTTTGCTTCATTTCAATTAGATCTTCCATAGTCTACTTAACATTTTAGTATAGTCCACTGTAGAATTATATTATAATTTAGGCAATATATGGTTGATTCTTGTATCTTGCAAATAACCAACAGTAAAGCAATTAATGGTTTAGGACATTTATATCTCTCTCTCTATATATACATATACATAAATATATATAAATAAATAATCATGTTAGTGAATGATTAATTCAGAATTAATTGTCACATATTCCATTTCGGGATTAAAACAGATTCGTATATGTACTTCAGAATTGATTGAGGAATGTTCCCTCCAGAAAGATTACTATTTTCAATTCCTAAAAATAGTGTGTAAGAGTTCTAATTTTCCTGTAGTCTGAATATTGAGATATATATTCTCAGAACTTTTAGTTTGGCCATCCTGTTAGCTCAGAAATGATTTATCTTTATTGATTATTTTTTGTCTACTAAATGTTTCATAATGTCATTAGTTCAGGGTTCATTTAATTAATATCATGCTGTAGAATTTTATGTTCATATTTATTTCTCATTTAATAATGGATTTCAGGGTCTTTATCCCTCTTTTTTTTTTTTAATTGGAAAGTCAGATACACAGAGAGGAGGAGAAACAAAGAGTAAGATCTTCCATCCAATGATTCACTACTGAAATGGCTGCAGTGGCTGGAGCTGAGCCGAATCAAAGCCAGGAGCCAGGAGCCTCTTCTGGGTCTTCTAACCAAGTGTAGGATCCCAGGGTCTTGGGTCATCTTGACTGCTTTTCCAGGCCACAAGCAGGGAACAGGATGGAAAGCAGAGCCACCAGGACACAAATAGGCACCCATAGGGGATCCTGGTGCTTGCAAGGCAAGTACTTTAGCCTCTAGGCTACTGCGCTGGGCCCTATACCTCTGTTTTATGACTTCTTTTTAATTTTTATATGAGAAGGTGGCAATTAGAGGTGGAAGCTAGGGCAGGAGTGTTAGAGTTGTTTCTGGCTGAAGCCAGGAGTTTGAAACTCAATCCAGGTGTCCCTGATGGGAACCAAGAGCCCATTTTTTTAGTCATCCTGGTTTTTCCCCAGGGGCTGCATCTATAGGAACCTGAAGTCAGAACATGGCATCAAAAATTAAACACAGGCTCTCAGATACGAGATACAGGATGCAGTTGTCTTAATCCCTCATCTTGACACCTGTACCAAGAGAATTCTAATCCATGAAAGACTCTATAGCAGGCTACATATCAGCTTCCACAAATCCAGGTACATATCCCAATCCCAGAATCACTGCATGTGAACATAATTGAAAAGATGGTCACTTTGGAATTTCCCTGTGGATCTAAATCCAATGACACATATTCTGGTAGGAAGAAGGAACAGATGAGTACAGATAAAAAAGACTGAAGTGATTTGAAAAACCCCGAGAGAAGGCCCATTAGCATGAGGGATATTATAGTTACCATCAGCTGTAATGGACAAAAAACAGAATCTTAGCTGGCGTTGCCTAAGGAAGTATAACCTGTTGAAACTTTAATTTTGGATTTCTGGTAGCCAGAAGAGAAAGAAGAAACCACTGTTGTTTTAAGCCAATTTATGGTAATTTTATGGCCCCAGTAAAGTTTACTTCTGGTACTTGTGCAATTTTATTTTTTCATCTTTAGTCTCAGACCCTTTTGGAAATTATTGCTATCTGCAATGTAAAGTGTAAATCCAACTTCACCTTTTGCAGAGTTATTCTGTAGAGCCAGGATTATTTACTTAAAATGGCAATATTTCTTTTTCTTGCTTGAAACATCAACTTTGACTTACATTACATTTTCTTGTGTATTTTAGTTATTTTTAGCTCTTCTATTTCATTCTCTGCTCTACTTCTATATTTATGTATAACTACATTATATCATTGTGTGGTACAATAGTCCCCTGAGACTACATCACTCATATTAATGTCCTATAGGTCTAGTCTCATCTCATATTTTACTTTGTTCTATCTTTTTCTTTACCCATTTTTTTGTGGTTACTCTTGTGTTTTTAAATGGGCTTTTTCTTCAGCAAGTTTAGCTTGTGGAAAAATATTTTATTGGTATTTATATTGTAGTTGTTTAAAATACACAAATTAATTTGGGGAGAACTAATATTGAAAAGCTTAACACAAGGATAGGGATGCTAGTATCAATTTCTACATTGATTATGTGTCATCCAAAGTATTTTAAAGACACGTATATACATTTTTACACTTATTAAGTTTAATTCTAATTAGTTTTGCTTTTTCTGTTGAAGGTTATGATTTCTTGAACATGGTATTGATAAATAATATTGTTTATTTTATATTGCTATGTTACTTTGTAAAATTATCTGTGTAAATTTGTAGTACTTAAATCATTAAGACATCGCATCTCATAAACATAAATAATTACACTTTTTCTTACTAACTCATGTACCTAATTGATATATCATAGCTGATAGCATTCAATGATGGTCTTCTTTAGTATCAAAAATATTGGAGCTGGTGGTCAACATTCATATTTTGAATCTTAGAGGAAATGTCTTTAGTGTGTATATATCTCAAAAAAAAAAAACCCAGCTATCCATCTTAATTTTTAATTTAGGAAGTGGTATTGAAATTTGATAAGTATCTTTTCAACATTTTTGGAAATAATCTCATTTTTTTTTCCTATTTGGATTTAGTAGAACACAACTTGCATTCTTGGAAAGACCTCTTGGTCATGAAACTTTATGTATTTTATGTGGGGTTAGAGTCTATTTAATGATCATTATTTATCATTTTGCAGCTGTATTTATGAGTGACATAAATGTTATTCATTTTAAAAAGATGTATTTATTTAAAAGGCAGACTGACGCAGAAAGAAGAAGAGATAGAAAAAGAGAGGAAAAAGAGAGAGAAGAAAGATCTTCCCACCACTTCTTAAATACCAGCAAAACCGTGACTATCGCCCGTTGACTAGCAGACAGAACACACCACCTGCCACCCTTGCGGGTCTGCTTTGTGGATGTTCCTCACCTGGTGCCCTCGCAAGTGTGATAACAGGAAAATGACCCAAAGCCTGACAGCATAGGCCAAATATTGCATCTTTATCTTTAATTTAGGTATTTTTATACTTGACTCATGAAAGGGAGTACAGTTTGGTTCAAGTCAACACCAGGAGCCAGAAATTCCATCTCCGTAGGGTTCACAGGGACTCAAGACTTGGGCTATCATCCATTGCATTCCCAAACTCATCACTGGGAAGCCGGACTGGAAGGGGAGTGGCTGGGAATCCAAGCAGCTCTTGGATATGGCTGTTGGCATCCCGAGCTGCAACTTAACTGCCTACAGCTCCTGCTGACCTCTGCCCAACATGCAGACTCTATATTCTGATTCATTTATATTCTGTTGATTTTCTATAAGATGCATAAGACAACATGCAAACCTACACAATATCTTTCAGAAAATAAAAGAAAGGGAACTTCCAACTTATTTTACTGACCTAGCATAATGTCCAAATTGTATTATGCTTGGAGACCACCAAAAAATAAGACTATTGACTAACATCTCTCCTATTTTATCAGCTGAGTGTCAGAGATAATACTTCAGAGGGAACATTTTCAGACAAACTTGACTCTTCAAAGGAACTTTCAGAAATGTTTCATAAAGTTTTGAGCACTGCTTTATAATTAATATTATTTGAAATGCAAGGAGATGGGAAGAGAGACAAAATCTGGTTCACTCCAGACACGTCAGCAACAGCCAGTTGGGCAAAAACTGCAGCCAGGAGCCCCAAATCCAACCACATCCTTCCACATGAGAAGCAGACACCCAGGTACATAAACCCGTCACCCACCACCCCTCCAGGGTACACATTACCTGGAAGCTGGAATGTGCAGTAGATCTAGGACCTGAACCTGTACACTGCCACACAAGAGCCTCTCAGCAGCACAGGTTTACAAAAGGAGATCTGCATGTGACCAAGGACTGGAAGAGAAGCACATTAACCAGTGTTTAAAAGCCCATGAACTTAGATCCTACCGGTGTCCCAGACAAGGATATACCTGTTTTGATGAATTTCTGAGTAAATAAAATTCATTGATATATTGATACAAATAAAATGAAGTCTGTGTGTGCTGCAGTATCTACATTAAGGAATCTATTTCATCTTCTCTAAGATATTCTTATCCTGGAAAAAACAAGAGAAGTGTTTAAAAAATTCTTTGAAATTAAAATTATTAACTGTGCAATTAATTTTAAGTACAGATGAACAGAAAGATACATACAATGCTATGCTAATCTTAGAACGAGTATCCAAGAAAGCATGGTTAGATCAATTATGAAAAAAAATTTAAAATCAATTTTTCTTTGTGTTTTCTGACTCAGACATTAATTACTTACCTCTGGAGTTAGTTTTCCCTAGCCTCCCTGAAACGATGTGGAAATCTTAATGGATTTCAGTGCTTTATTCTTTCAACATTTTTCCTTCGTCTGCATCTTTGCTGCTTTTCCTTGAAGCTGCCCTGAGCATCTTTTCTTTCTCTCTGCCCACTCCCCACTGAGCGTGTATATACTTCTCTTCTGTGGAAGTACTTAGACCAAATTACTTTGAATCACAGCACAGAAAGAATCCTTGCAAAAATAATACCATGTCATTTTTTCCTGCCTTCTGTATGTAAAAATGCAATTTGCTGTGGCAGGACATGGTTTTCTCATTCAGTGCTACACAACTGCAAAGAAAGGAATTTTTGATCTCTGTATGTATTAGTGAGTTAAACATAATCTGTGTCCACTTACAAGACATCATTTAATGAGCCTGCAATGACAATTCCATTTTAGCTCAAATTTTCAGCTTTGAATTGAAATAATCTGTTTTTATTTTTGCACATTATTGCTGTCACAAGAGTGAATAAACTTTGGATTCTAAAAATCACAATGATATGAAAGAGACTAATTCCAGCAAACCTTTATTTTAAGTAATTTTCCACATTTACTGCGTGCAACATGAATCAATAGAAGAGGCAATGAGTTATTATCAAGCTCCATTTACAGATTTCTGTTATTTTCCTCTAGTGATTATGTGTGTGTCTATTGCTAACTGTAGTTCCAAGATATGGTTTGTTTTAGTTTATTGTCAGGTTTAGTCTCTCTACTGATTTAGGGCTTTAGAAGAAAAGGCAAGATCAAACACTGGCACTTCAAAGTTACAAAATGGGATATAAAAATCTTTACAGATTGTAAATACATGTTTCATAATCATTTAGTGTATTCTTTATCTAAGTACTTTTCTACATTGAACTTACTGATAGGATTTTTCATTTTTTCATTTCAGGCACACTTGTTTTATGTTGATCACAAATACATGTGCTTGACATGTATTTTATAATCCACTTTCAGAGTTATTGCTTTAACATTTTAAGTTTCATCTCATAATTGATTTTAACATTTTTTTTTGAGAGACGACCAAATGTCCTGTTCATTCTTTCTTTAAACCCTCCTTGTCCGCTTACATACCTTTTCCTCAATAATAGTTCCTGAATATATATAGTCAGTGTCTATGTATTTTCTATCGGCATTTTATATATTTGTTTATAAAGGTTATGTTTAAATACATATGTATACTATATATATATTTCTTTATATATATGAAGGAAACATTTGCATCTTACGTGACATTGAGAGGAATTAGGGTTGGTTTGAGAAGCTAAATATGCATATAGGAAAAAAAGGTACATTATGTGATTTAATTCTTACGACTATGATTCAATTTCTAGTGTGTGCCCCTGAATTATCTCGGACTTGCTTACAATTGTTATTTTATGCTATATTGTTTCCACTCTGCTTTCAATTGATTTCTCTTTGTTATCTTTAAATCAATCATGGTGGGAATATTTGTAATGTGAAATCAACAAAAGCTGTGAGTCAGGGCTTCATTCCACCCCCTCTGAAAGCAGACTTGTTAAATATTTACCAGCACACACTACTGATAAACAGTAAGCAGATTAGATATTATTTAAGATCCAAAATGAGCTTCACTCCTAAAACTCTCTATAACTATTTCAGAACCAACAATTTAACATATTTTTGGATAAACTAAGCTTAGTGGATGATGTTGTTCTGTTTTGCTTTATGACATAGTTGAATAGGCATTGGGATTTCCCGTGTTCCTCCCCAAATTCCCTCCCCTCCGCACTGATTTCCCCTCTAGTTTTACAATGGGTGCCTTTCAGGAACAGTTGCATGTCCTTCATGCTGTCATTGACGTTATCTCCCAACAATACAGGCACAGACAACGTCAGGAGTCCAGCAGTCTACTGTCAGGGCCTCTTCAGCCACTTCACCGGCAGTCCATTCTTGCTCTGTGTGCATCTATGTTCCTTCGCAGATCATCAGTACGCTTCGCTTGCATTGACGTTTTCAGCTAAAATATCAACGTTTACATATTGACTCTTTTATAAACTGAAAAATTCTTGGTGGTTTTATGAGTAATACATTTACATTTCACAATGGGAAATGTTTTATGGTTGAAATGACAAAATAGTGTGCGCTAATAAAAATTATTTAGAACTGATGTTTACTCAGAACTATCTCTATTCTAATCCTTGAAAATTCATTGTGTTGCTATTTTACAGTGAGGCCCACAGTAATTGAAACTGACGTTTATGTAAACAGCATTGGACCAGTTGATCCCATAAACATGGTAAGTAAGGAATGTAAAAAATATGGAGATCTCAAACACGCATGTTTAGAATAGAGAGAATTTGACTCAACTTGCTGATAGTTGTTTTTTACAGCTGATTTTTCATGAATCCAGACCAACATGGGGAGTTGTTATGTTTCCGTTAGTGGCAACTGGAAACAAAGTATTTTATCTAAGAATTGTTACCGTGTTTTTGGCTCATGTTTACAATGAGCTGTGTTTGGAAGTGTTATGTCAGAGGATTAAAACTTGAGCCTTTCAGAGTGTGTCCATGAAAATATCTGGAAAAAGGACATCAAAAGGTGAGGGGCGGGGAACAGGCAGAGAAGGAAAGAGTTTCTGGCTGAGAAAGCAGTATGAATGAAACCACAGAGCAATGAAACACCTGGTAAGTTTAGGGCATTCAGCAAATTGATATCCCTGGCATATAAAGTGTGGGATAAACAACCATGGAGCAAGATATGTTTAAAGGCTTTTCAAGGCTGTTCTTATAAACAACTATAAAAGGAAGCTTAAATGCTGCTTTATGAATTGTAACCCTCTGCGTAACAGAAATTACTGGAAGCTTTTCAACAAGAGAGTCTCTAATTCTGATTTTTACTTTCAGAACATTCCTCTTAACAGCATAGAAAATGAATGCAAGAAGCTAAGGTCAGGGTTTGAGAGATCAATTAAGAAGTTGGTTTATTGTTGTGGGAAGTAGATATCTAAGGTTTTACACAGTATGTAGCAATTAACCTGGCTAAGACAACAGCAGCCTTAAAAGTATTAGAGAGATTTTTTGGGGGGGGATGGGGAATTTGATAACTCATTATTTATACATTGTGTCACTTTAAGATATAAAGAGATATGTTGCAGCTAGTATGGTCTTTATTAAAGATGAGGTTAAGCACAGTATGTGCTGCCAGTACTAATGATGCATTCAGAAGAAGCTATTTGGTCCTACTTCGTGTGATTTGCCTGCTTTTCTGGGAAGATGTCTGAATTGATAACAGATTATTGTTAAAACAGTAAAATCATCTCTTTACTACAATGCTTCACTCACTTAAATCCCCATATCAATGCATTGTATCTGACAATTGCTGTGTCTGCTAATTCTTACAGTATTACCTTAAATCCAAGTTTTCCTGCCCCACCTTGCTGTATGCATGATTGTGGTTCGCTTTCACAGCTGTCTGCGTTGATTAGTGCCAGGAAAGCACTCTGGCTGGACTATGCCTGACATCACTGTTACCTTAATGAAAATGGATATACTCTGGTTTTGGATAAATTGAATGTGAGAGAGTAAGGAATGTCTTCCAAGAATGTCAAAGATGCCAATCTTAAATATTGGGCTGGGGAAATCTGGGCTAAAGAATAAATTCTCTAAAATTGGAAAATATTTAAAAGGCTTAAAAATGCTGACTGAAGAATTGAAAGGTGGGAAAGCTAAGGGAGCACCTGCCTTCATGGACTTGAAGGGGATTCTGAGTTGGTCAAGGAGGCAGCAGGTTTGACGAGGAGTAGAAAGGCAATGACACAGAAACAAAAGCCAAGATTTCAATGAGGTTTCAGGTATTATCTGTGACCAAAACAACGTACTGTAAAATCCACTGTCGTTCTGTAAGTAGAACATATTCCGCATACCTGTGAACAAAAATGTTGAAGTTTTTATCATTCAAATAGGAGAACTTATATAGTAATGCTTCACTAAAATGTTCATTTTTCTTCTCAGGAAAATCGTTCATTGTTCATTAAAAAAAAAAAAAAACAGGAGTAGTAGGAATAGAAGGGGGTTTGAGAGTCAAGGGAAGATAATTTTATTTATTTGTGAGGTAGAGAAAAATATTCAAATACTCACTGTACCTGGTGCTAGGGCAGGTCAAGAGGCAAGCCCTGGGAACTTTAGTGATCTCCTTGAGCTCTCATTGTTGCCTGCAAGGATTCGAGTTAGTAGGAAGCTGCGATAGGAACGGAGCCAGGGTCTGAACTCAGGGACTGGTGTGGGTATGTTGGTCCTAATTCCTGAGCTGTAAATCCATTTTAATGTTCAGTCTCTAAGCAGGCAGTGCCTCTAGTAGCGAGGCCTGTCTAACAGTATGAAAAAGTCTGTGCTTTCCTCAACTGTGTGTTTTTGCTGTCATTATTGTTGTTTCAAACTTGGTTCTTGTTTTGCATGAATTCTTGAAATGTAAAATATGGTCATTAAAATAATGAGAGAGGATTCAAGGCTGAATTAGTATTCTAGAAACACATTCACATGATGGTTACCAAGAGATTTCTGTGATATCTTCCTATTTAAAAGATTCATGGTACTAAAGATTTAGTTTTCCCAGTGGAGTAATTACATAATGGTAACCTTGGACAGTGGTCGTTTGAAAAACTGCTAATTAAATGAAATTGCTACTGATAATAAGAACATTAAAACGCTCTGTGGAACATGCGATATTGTTTATTAAAGGAAAGCATTGTCATACCAGGGATTAATGAAAACTAGGTTTTGTAGAAGAGTTTAACTAAACAATGAAGGGAAATTAGAATTCGCTTTTCGTAAGATGAGAAAAATTGCCTGGAATATGAATGTAATCAAGGAAGCCAACTTGGGTGTAATTAAGCAAGCAGGAGCACAGTGTCCCCTATTTCCTCTTAACTACAAATGCAATATGAGTTATCAAAGGAACACACCTAAATGAATTGACTTCACTGGTTTTTCTAAAGTTAGCTAGAGTGTGCTTTGCCAAAAATCGATGTTTCTTTTTCAGCTTGGTTATGTAAAATTCCACCTCTACAGATCATTGGTAACCTATATAAACAAAATTATTCTACCTTAGGATATATACATATATGTATATGTGTGTGTGTTTATTTACTTTTTCCAGGATTAGACTGGTGATTTCAATGTTGTTTTCATAAAAATGGAGTATCTGATAATTGAATATAAATGGAGTAAGTATACAGGTCAATAAATAGTTATTTCCATAGTTTCCATTTTGAGGACTTCAAATAGAAACGACAGGCAAATGCACTAATAAAGGAAGGAATAAAAAACAGAATATTGGTGACTGATCAATTTATGAGTGTTCTGATTAAAAGCATCTTAAATGTAAGCAGAAAACCACTAATAGTTGTTACTAGATTGGAATTAAATTTTTCTTTCTCTCTTAAGTTTCATGTTTTAGAAAGATTTTTGTGTGCGTATTTTAAATATGTCTCTCAATAATAATGTCTTACCCTTAACTAATGGGCATAATATTCAGTCTCATAGCAAATCTCCAAACCAAGCTAAGCTCACTGATTTCTGTGGGGGATTCAAGATGATATTATGGGTATGTGACGGTAACCTACAGCACAAGATTATTAAGCAAACACATTGCTTATATTACCTAAGTAATAGATCTAGTTGTGTTATTGAAGAGGAAAATGAGGATTTTAATCTCCCTACTTTTTGATTCACTTTCTGATTCCATGAGGTCTATTCCTGCCATTATCACTCGATGATGTTTTATTTATTTATTTATCTATTTATTTATTTATTGTCAAATTGAGTAGGTTGCCAAATTGCCTAGTCATTTGGCCAATTGCAAGTCTAGATGTCTTATTAATTTCCTATTTATTAAGTGTACATACAGAAAATGAATCTCTATTTTAATCAATATAAACAGAGTATAATACAGAAGTAACAGAAACAATACATATGTGTGCAAAAAAAGCTAATTTGTTAATTTTATGTTCCTTTTGCCATATACACCCTTCTTATAGGAAGCTGAATCAGGCTTGCTGAATATGCTTTAAACCTCTGTCAGTGTATTGATGGATGCCTTGAATAATTCACTAACAGTTGTTGTTATAACCTCTTTATTCTTTATTTCTTTTATTTCCTTTATCCCTTGAAAAATAGAATAAAATCAGTTCTTTTCCTTGGTAATACAAGGAAATACACTGGTGCTGTTACAATGATTGAGAAAAGACAGATGATACTGTTACCTTTTAATTAAGTGTAAAGCCTTTTGTGCTATGGATTGGCTAGATGAGTACTTATTCTCTGCAAATCATAACTCTATAACCAGATCCACTGCTAACCATGATTTGGCTCATCACTCTGTCTTGACCAAAATGAGATCATTTGGGAGGGGATGACAGATAAGGATTTCATCATCAGCCAAACTTCATGACCAAATTAGGCGTATACTTTAATTCCCATGTGGGCCTTGTATTTTGCGTGAAGTTCTCATGCTTTTCAACAGATGGTAATGCTGAGCTAACCAATACTTATAATACATAATAGATTTACTGTAATAAAAGTTAACAACTTGAGTCATGTAGTATTTTCATATGTGAGATTAAAGTATGTAGTTGGAAAACTGGCATTGTGATAGTGAGACCATACTACAAACTTTAATCGACACAGTTTGATCAGGATGGATAGCGTGCACTCATTATGCTATTTAGTCAGCTAACATGGGAGGAGATACAATAAATCTCATTATATTGATTGGGTCTCAACTGCTAATGATCTATTTGTTATCTCAGCATGTTTATCTTAAAAGCTGAAGTACTTCTTATTCTGAGTGAAAGGAAGTTCCATTTCGTATCTGCATTGCTTATTTAATATTCAGGTAATTATAATTCTAAATAGAAACATCAACAAGAACACAGTTTGAGCATTTTCTGGGAATGATAGTAATACAAATAAGTTAATGAAACTAGATTCTTCAGTTAACATCAAGTGGAACAGACTTTAATGATCTTTCTATCTTACTGCAGGATATTTTGAGGCTTAGCCACTTAAAAGGGCTTGAGAGAAACAAAACAAAGTATGTAGCAAGGATGAACTTTCAAGACCCCCCAAACTCTACAGCTTCTCCTTTTACGTCTTAGAATGAGAGAACAATTGTGAATTTCAGATATCCTAAATAAAACTTTCCAGCTAAGAAGTATCTAAAGCTATTTGCAAAGTTCCATGGTAGATAAAACAGATCTCAATGACGACCAGTGTATTTTGATTAGGAATACTGGCAGCTGAGCATATGTCTACTGGTGCTGGCTTCCAGACAAGCACTTCGTGGCTGATATCTTCAGCAGTTTCTGTTGCCTGATCCCACAAAGCAAGTGCGGAATCATGGCAAATAAAATCAACTCAGTGTTCTTTCCAGCAATTGCTATAGAATGCGTTATGAGCTTGCTCTGTGTTAAAATGCAAATAATTAAATCAGAATATGTCATTAATGCAGGATGTACTGCTAGATTCTGAAAGTATAAACATTTGTGCAAGGTGAAAAGGGTGGTTGGATTCATTATAGTTGATTAGAAAATAAAGTGTCAGGACTGAGAACAAGTTTACAAAGCTATAAGATGTTCTTAGTGAGTCTGCCCAGTAATTTTCCATATGGTTCAAGGAACAAATACACCAATGATGTCATATGTAATGGTCTATTTGCTCTTTAAAATGTGTCCCTTGTTGTGTACCACCAAATAAATATTATTTTTTTGTAGTTAATCACTGCAAAGTATTATAAAATTGGAACTCAGGTTTTTTTTTTTTAACACTTAATTAGTTTTCTTTTGTGTTTTACTTACATTTAATGTCTTCATTTACTAAAAATCCTTGAATAAAAATTTCAAAAAAAAAAAAAAGAAAATCACTCTGGGTGATCCCACTTATGGATTCTATTTTATATGACTTATATAAACTTAAAAAAATGTTTATTAAAAAAGTTAATTGTATGGTATTTTTCTCCACAAGTACTTGTTCAAGTGATATTGACTTTCAGAAATTTCACAATATAAATGTTTTGACTTCTGAGGAAATCATCTAAGATAGTAGATTTACTAATATGTTAATATTCTTTTACATTTTAGGAATACACAATAGATATAATTTTTGCCCAAACTTGGTTTGACAGTCGTTTGAAGTTCAATAGTACAATGAAAGTACTAATGCTTAACAGTAATATGGTAGGGAAAATTTGGATTCCGGACACATTCTTTAGAAATTCCAGAAAATCGGATGCTCATTGGATAACAACTCCTAATCGTCTGCTAAGAATTTGGAATGACGGTCGAGTTCTATACACATTAAGGTAATAGTTTTTAAAAATTTTAGTTGCTCTAATTTACTTTGACGCTAATATTTTATCAGTTCCTGAGCTGTCCCTTTCTAAACTTGCAAAGTATGTGGACCTCCTTTCATTAACTAAGATCTAAAGTCGAGAAATGCTGTGAAAATTGTTCTGCAAGCTCAGAGTTAGTTTTATGTAGAAAAACCACGAAACAACCAGAAGCAATTCTGGTTTCCTTTACTCAAACCAGAAAAGGTTATAGTATAAGCATTCGGTATTGAAAGCTATATGCAAATATTTGAGCCTATCAAGCTATTGTATTTTGACGCTCTGATTTCAAAAGTGTTGTAAAATAATCTAACAAGGGATCAATACATAAGGGTGATGTGTGAGGTTGTACTTTATTAACTCATTTCCTGAGGTGTATCTATTTCAGAGAATCATTCAAAATGAAAAAATATAATGATAAGAAAAAATTACCACATGTAACCATCCGTTATTGCTAATCTTGTCTGCGCGTGCTCATTTGCATATGTGCATGGGTACGTTTGCTCAAATCCTGCAGTATAAACTTCGAAATGTATGTAACGGGATGAGTGTCCAGTATAGCAGTTACCTAGCACTTACCAAGCCCATAACTCACAGCTCAGCTCTTTGTATTGTGTACCCTGGGAGGCAGCAAGTGATGGATGAAGTAATTAGTTCCCTGTCACCTGTATGAGGGATTCAAGTTGAGTTCCCAGGTGCTGGAACATTAAAGGAGCGATTCAGTGTGCCCAAGATCTACCCCTTTCATTCATCTCTCTGCCTTTCAAATAAGTAAAAAAGTAATTTAATTAACAATTCACATGTAAATCACTGATAAAGAAAATGTTCAAATTTTTATACTCATTTGCGATTGATATGAATAGTACCAATTAAGACCTTGAGACTTTTAGATAATTGCTGTGTTCTAACACATCACAGTCCTTTATTGTAGCACAAAATCATGCTTTTGAATAAAATAAAAAGTTTGGGCGTTCTGACACAGTGGATTACACGCCTGCTTGGGACACTTGTATGCCAAATCAATGTCTGGTTCCACTTCTCACTACTGTATATTTTCAGTCAAACTTCTGATAACATACCTGGGAAAGCAGCCAATGATGGTCCAATTGTTTGAGTTCCTCTCACTTCCACAGGAGTCATGACAAGAGTGCATGGCTTACAGCTTTGGCTTTACATCACAGATTTAATGCTTATTTATTTTTCCTTTTACATAGGCTGACAATTAATGCAGAATGTTATCTTCAGCTTCATAATTTTCCTATGGATGAACATTCCTGTCCACTTGAGTTTTCCAGCTGTAAGTGATAAATAATTCATATTTTCACAGAGACTCAGCTTCAAACTGTTTTAAAACATAACATGAAATACAAAATCCGTTTTCAGATATTATGTATTATATGTAACTATCTTAGATAAAATAATTGTCAATAATGTGTTTGTTTCTTTACAAGAGAAAATAAAATTAAGTATGAATGTGTATATTTCATTAAATATGCTTATTAAGTGTTGTTTGATTCAAAGTTTCTTTTCTTCTTTTGATTAAAGATGAAGAAGAATTTATACTGAGTTATTTTCTATAAGCAAGAAAAAAACTTAACTCAGATATTATCCATCTTTCTGCAAACAAAACTTACCTTTATTATATATGATTTTTAAATACATCTCAAGAGAGTAAAGCATTTTTTGTACTGCAAATCCATAACTACTGCATGAATTTTTAAATATTAAATATTAAATAATAAATCAAGCAAATAGCAGCAAAATGTTAAAGAATATATTATATGAAAATATTTGATAATGTTGTGTTCTACTGTCTTTTGACTGCCACGTTAAGTCTCACGACATTGTTTTGGCTTTGAATGTCATTATGAGAGAAGTTATAATCTACCTTGTAAATATATATGGGTGTCAATGACGAATATAACTGCCAACTATTTTTTTTCTGGTACTCTGTAATAGTAAAATACAGAAGCAAGCCTAAGCGTGAAGGTCCATAAGCAATATATCTGCAAGATTTCATTGTCTTCTCATGTTTGTAAGCTAGTGTCATAGATTCACAATGGTTCCATGTCTAACTAGCTGTGTTTGTTCCCAAACTCTATAAACTACCACTACAGTCTCTATAATGGTAAGGAATAAGAACTACCAGCAAGCAAGATGGCTGGGTTCTTAGAGAGTAAAAGAAATAGGATGGAGAACATAAGAGAAGGGAAACAGATTCTTCCGAATTGGCTTGGTAGCTAGATAACATTTAATAGTGCTGTGAGTAAAATGGGGTCCTAATGCAACATGAAACATCATTTTACAAATTTCTAAAGTTGGATTGTGAGCGCTATTCTTGCAACATGATGGAATAATCTATATTTTATGTGGCTAAAATACTCCCAAAGAAAGATAAATGATCAGAAATATGCAGAGATTTTAGCCACAAAAATTCACACAAAAAATTGAAGCTTCAAGATGAGATTTGCAGTCAACTGTGATCTCAGAAGATTTACCAAATTGTAACTCCAAGCTGTGGTTTTACAGAGTTGCGAGGCAGATGCCTAATAAAACATGATATTCATGAGCCTGGGTTATAAACAGCTACACACTTAGGATTACAAGAAGAAATTCCTGCTGCCCCCAATACACATGGAAAACCTATAGACTTAAAGACAAACTTCCTCTAAAAGAGCATAATAGGATAAATTAGCTATTCAATGGTTAATCTTTATAGTATAGGCAGACATTTTATGTAGTTACTGTATTTCCTGTATCTTATAATAAACATTGAGGAAGACATTTGAGGAGTTTGTCTTTGGGTAATGTCTTTATTGCGCAGGTTGGTGGTTAAGGTGCTGCTCGGAACTCCAGCAGCCCATTTCAGAATGCTGATTCAAATTCTAGCCACTCCATTTCAGATCCTGCTTCTTGTTAATAACGGCCTGGAAAGGAGGGGTGGGGAGGGGCAGGTGGATGACCCCTGTTTGGTTCCCTGTGGTTCATCTTGGAGACCAAGAGGCTGTTTCTAGTTTTAGCCTGGCCCACTCCTGGTTGTTGTGTCCATTTGGGGAGTAAACCAGCATATTTTCGCCCTGTAGCTCATCCACTCCCTCATCCTGTCTTTGTCTCCTCTTTCTGTCAATATATATTTTAAGTACACATATATACATATTTTTAAAAAGTTGGCATTGCAATAACTCATTTGTTTCTTTGTAGCTGGACATTTTTTCATTTTATTTTTTCTCTAGATGGATATCCTAAAAATGAAATTGAATATAAATGGAAAAAGCCCTCTGTAGAAGTGGCTGATCCTAAATACTGGAGATTATATCAGTTTGCGTTTGTAGGCTTACGAAACTCAACTGAAATTTCCCACACAATCTCCGGTAAGGCAAAAAGAATGAAGCAATGAATCATGCTGGCATTAAAAGGCATTTTTATTGAAATATATGGATTGGAATCTATGTTTTTGTTATTTATCACTGACATAAAACACTTTTTTCTTCCAGGGGATTATGTGATTATGACCATTTTTTTTGATCTGAGCAGACGGATGGGGTATTTCACTATTCAGACCTACATTCCATGCATTCTGACTGTTGTTCTTTCTTGGGTGTCTTTTTGGATCAATAAAGATGCAGTACCTGCCAGAACATCACTTGGTAAGATACGCGATGTTATGCTGTAGTATTATAGGATCATTACATGCATACTATTGTGCTCAAAATTTATAGCTGCCTTAGACTACAATCAGAACAAAAATTGAGCCAGGACTCTAGTGCGATACCGTTTTGAAAGAAGTGTATGAAAGACAGAGATGATGACCTAGGGGCCAGAACGGGCTGACTAGGATCCAGGAACTCTATCCTTATCTGCACAACCCTATTGACTGAAAGGGCAATTTATAATTTATGTTTGATCAAACAGACTTTTCATCTATTTCTCTGGCAATCTATTGCAATACTCATATCAAATAAGAAAATAAGTGGCTAATTAATGCACACCTACTTGAAAGAAAATTATGACCTATGTACATATACTAATATACAAAGAGAACTTGCTGATCAATTGATTCACTATCAAAACCCAAGTAAAACCCAAGTCACACTCCTGATAATTGTTTCTAGAACACAAAGGAAGCCGAGATCTTTTCTATCTTCAATCATAATGAGGTTTTCTTGTGGCTTCTGTGGCAGATGCTACACAACTCCATTTAATAGATGTAGTAAAATCTAGAACACATAAATGCAGAGATAAAACTTGAAGCATCTGGCTCTGTTCTTGGGAGCTCTGTTCTTTGGGAGTTTAAATGGAGATATTGAGATAGCACACACACACACACACACACACAACTCATTCACACTTCAGGTTTCTTGAAATTAAACTTTTTCTGTTCAAGGTGTATGAGTTACTTTGGGCTCTTAGACAATCAAGAGCTTTAAAACCTATTTTAACAAACGTTTGTCAGGCATTTTCTTTGGAACAGGCCGCTTTAAAAAGTGAACCAACATTAAGAAATGATCATTGTGTTGACGCTTTAGTGAGGAAAACCAGAACTATGCAACTATAAAAGTATCTACTAAAATCTTAGAGTGATAAAACCAATGAAGATATAACAGTAGGGATGGTCAGAGAATTGCAGGAGGAGTGGGTATTTAGGAAGTTTGCTACTGCACAGACCTGATCTGTCTGAGGAGATGGCATTTGGGCAGTGGTCTGAAGATCCAAGAGACTGTTTTCAAGGTTATTTGAGTAGAAAAGAAATTCAGGCAGGGAGGGCCACAGTTTCTGAAGAGAAACTTTCTGCTAACCGTCCCTGCTGTTCAGGAAAATAACACTGAAAATAGCTGGAGGATGAGCTTGGATAAGTGGCCAATTGTCAGATCACATCAATCCTAGTGCTTCATCTTAAGGACTTTGCATTTTATTCCAAATGTGGAGGCAGACTATTGTAGAATTTTGAGCAGGGGAAGATACAGCAGAAAGAACAAAGATTTTGTAGATATGCTTTGTGGTCCTCTAAACAGCTCAAGTACTTTCCTGTTGTCTTGGAATCTCAGATACTTTCATGAAATCCGGGGTACTCTTTTACAACTAATCATGGTGACAGTAATTACTGAATTGAACAGGTAACCTAAAGCTAACTTCTGCTGTAGTTCTTGCTTCCTTATAAATCAGAAGTATAACAGCATTTTTCTGAAATAAAATGTAGCTCAATCATGATGAGCAAAATCAAACCACACATTAATATGATTATTAAGTAGGAGTGGGACATGATTGAAAAGAGAAATTAGAAAATATTTCAAATTGAATTTTGGTGAGAGCATAACATGGGAGGGTAGGTGAGAAAATGAACTTAAAATAAAAGCTAATTGTAAGGCAATTTGGGGAAAGTACATACCAATTTTTTCTTTGTAGATATTCCGTCAACTTTTTATAATATCCCTCTCATGAATATTTGTACGATGTAGCTAAGCTTTGAACAGAGCGGAAAGTGCAGCTTTAAAATTCCAGTGTGAAAAAATCTGGCAGTGGGATCCTAAGTAGCCACAGTAAGAACCCATAAATCAATGAAATACTTAATGTAGCTATTCCTAACAAGCACCGTGCAGAGTATTACTATGCCCGTTATTTTAATGAGAAGCAGAGAGTAGTTAAGAAAGTTCTATGGAAATGACAACATAGATTGGTGGTAGAGTTAGAGACAATTTCCAAGACTCATCCACATTAGTAACATCTCCAATTTTGCCAGTCTTTAAAGATGAGATGAACAAAAGGATGGACTTCTGATAGCAGGTGTCAGAGTGGGTTGCAGAAATGAAGATGCAGGAGCAAGAAATAGCTAAAGATTTACTGTGCTAGAAAGACCCTTACATGTTGCTGTAACCCTTATATTATTATTATTGTTATTATTTTTACCAACATGAATGTTAACATTGTGTAAATGTCAGAAGAAAAGCCTTTTTGAAAATTATTTTTTAAATTATTTATTATTTGAAACTCAGATATACAGAGAGGAGAACAGACAGAGAGGAAGCCATCACTGGAGCTGTGCCTATCCAAAGTCAGGAGCCAGGGGCTTCCTCCCTGTCTCCCACATGGGTGCGGGGACCCAAGGCTTTAGGTTGTCCTCAACTGCTTTCTCAGGCGACAGCCAGGGAGCTGCATGAGACGCAGGGTGGCTTAGTATAGAACCAGTGCCCATATGAGATCCTGACACGTGTAAGGCTAGGACTTAAGCCAGGAAGAGATATTGACATAACACAAGCACACACACACATATCCTGGGCCCCCAGAAGCTTTTTCCATTATGTTTAGTACATCTTTGAAAATAAACGATTTCATTCATGTGGTCACTTTAGTGGGAAAACAATTGATAAATAAAGTCATCTAGGCAAATAGGAATGCAGCTCGTGCAGCCAGGACTCAGAATACCTAAATGTAAAGTGCCAAGAATCACATGGTCAGTGGGTGAAGAGAAATAGGCATTTCCAAGGACACAAAGGAGTGTGGTTCAGAGGTACATCCCATTATAAATGCTGAATTATGAATAATAGATGTGCATCTGGTATGTCTGTGTATTCCTCTACTTAATTATGCTTATATTCTTCACCTAAATTGAGCTAAAAATAGCATGAACTCAACATGTCAAGTAAGAAATTACTTTCATAATTAATCAGTTGAATATGGCAGAAAATGGTAAATCACTATTGCTCCAGTTGGAGGAAGAATGCTCATTTCCAGGCCCAGCATGGTAGCCTAGCGGCTAAAGTCCTTGACTTGAATGCATCTGGATCCCATATGAGCGCCGGTTCTAATTCAGGCTGCCCTGCTTTCCATCCAGCTCCGTGCTTGTGGCCTTGGAAAGCAATCAAGGATGGGCCAAAGCCTTGGACCCTGCACCCACACGGGAGAATCTGAGGAGGCTCCAGGCTCCTAGCTTTGGATTGGCGCAGCTCTGGCTATTGAGGCCACTTGAGGAGTGAATCAACAGGTGGAGCTCTTCCTCTCTGTCTTCTCCTCTTTGTATATTTGACTTCGCAATAAAAATAAGTAATTCTTAAAAAAAAAATGCTCATTTCCCGAGTTGACATTCCAGAGACAGGCAGTCCAGTTGATAAGCTTTCGGCTTTCCTGGGGTGATTCTTAATGCCAACACTTCCTAAGGTCTGAGAGGCCGACTGGAGCTCTGGCTGTTGTATGCTAGCAGACAGTGGTAAAGAGGAGGAGGGGAAAGAAGGCTGTTGCCTCTGTGTAACATTATCTTTTTGATGCTGTTTATGCTGTTACTTTCACTTGAGTCACAGTTTATGGGCACAGGTGTCTGCCAGCAAAGTCACTCACTGCAGAGTAGGTGGCAAACAAAATTGTTCTTGCAGGCAACTGTGCTAGCTGGAAGTTGACTCTCCCATTCCTATGAAGGAAGGGAAGTGTTGTTATTGAAACCTGCAATCCGCAGGGTTTTAAATGATTAAAACTCACACAGAAGCAAACGCTACATGGAACATAACGTATCTATGGTAACCAGTGATTTTTTTCTGAAATAAATTTAGTAAATATTTCATTTGCCTCTCTTGTCTATGTATGACTACAGTATCGCCAAATCCGATGGATGAACAAGAGTAGCTTGCTATTTTCCATTTTCACTTTTTTTTCTCTCTCTCTCCACAGGTATCACAACAGTTCTGACCATGACAACCTTGAGTACAATTGCCCGCAAGTCTTTACCCAAGGTTTCCTATGTAACTGCGATGGATCTCTTTGTTTCTGTTTGTTTCATTTTTGTTTTTGCAGCCTTGATGGAGTATGGAACCTTGCATTACTTTACCAGCAACAGAAAAGCAAAGACAAATAGAGAGAAAAAGCTAAAAAACAGGGCCTCGGTATGTATTTCATATAAATGTGTGTGTGTGTGTGTGTGTGTGTGTGTGTGTGTGTATAGATATATATTTCATAAACCAGTTTACTAAGAGATACTATTTTGAATATTATGCTGTGTTTGCTTAGAATAATAGGAATCCTTGAGGCAACATGACTAATACTAACCATAGTTACAAAGAAACTGGTGAATCAAGGCTTGACCAACAGAAACAGTGCGTTTTTATCTCCCAAATTTCTGTATTCAATGTTTGTTGTAAAGAGTAGTTTCTTTTGCTAAGACCATTTTCACAAATAGTAGATTTATTGTACTTAAAATATTGATTTTGATTCTATTTTGTGTGTGAATGTTAAGATATGTAACCATCTGGAGCCCACACAATTAACCACTTTAAGAAATAAACATAGCTCTCTAATGTTAGAATTCAGCTGTGTTTGGACCTCACAGCTGTAAAATTATTTTTGCATTTTTTGGTATACATATTTCCTTACACCATCTTCAAAGTCATTTGTATTGCTACCATAATTTGTATCACATTAAAATAACATAAAAATAACATGTATTTTGCAGATTCTATTCATTACCTAAATAATTAATATTTAATATTGGATGATTGCTAATACATATTGCATTTTAAGGTATTTGAAGGTATTATTTTGGACTTACTGAATGAGCCAAAGTTCTTGTGTTTTTATGAGTGTTTTGCAAGCATGATTATAAGTAAAGTTCAGAATGATGCTATATATGCAAGCGCAGATTTCATAAGTAAAAGATTCAAGAGTTGGACCTGTGTCATCTTGGTGGAAGAAAGCCAGGGTAAAAATAGAATGAGAGAGAAAGAGAAAGAGTATGCTTAGGTTTGAAATTTAGCATCAAGCCCAGAAAGAAAAATACTAAAGGTAGAAAATAACAAGTGAAAATTAAATGATAGCATTCAACTACTATGTGAGAAAAAATCCAAGTTAATTTGCATACCATACATTGACTACTTAAGTGACAAATGCATATTTTTTTGCAAATTTACAAAACCAAGTTTGCTATGTAATTTTTACTTGTTCAATTATATGATTTATAAGGTACTGATATTTTAAGATTTATTTATTTTTATTTGAAAGAAAGATCAGATTTACAGAGAGAAAGAGAGATTAAAAGGTCTTCCATCTTTTGGTTCACTCCCCAAATGGCCACAATGACTGGAGCTGAGCTGATCCACAGCCAGGAGCCAGGAGATTCTTCTAGGTCTCCCATGAGGGTGCATGTTTCCAGTGCTTTGAGCCATCCTCTACTGCTTTCACAGGCAATAAGCAGGGAATTGCATGGGAAGTGGAGCAGCTGGGATATGAACTGGTGCCCATATGGGATCTCAATGGTTACAAGATGAGGATTTAGCCATTGAGCCATTGTACCAGGCACAGTACTAACATTATATATATATATATATATGTATATATATGCATATATACATATATATATATAAAATCAAATCTGGTTCTGTAATTGACTCAGTGTTCAGTAACAGCATCTTATACTGAGGTAAATCAGAATATATAAGAATCGTAGAATGTCTTCTATTTTTTTAGGGAGAATTCATATTTAACACAATAGACTTTTTAGCTTCAATGAACCCATTAAGTAAATTATAAATTTAAAAACATATTTATAATTTTCACATTAAATAAAATATTGGGTCAGCTTGTACTCTCTCCCTACCCCATGCTTTCATCTTTCACGTCCACCTTCCAGGCTTTTTCCATTGTTTGGTTCTTGTATCCTGTCTCCCTACTGCTTTTCTTGCCTTCCTTCCTTCCTTCTCCCTGTATTTTCATATTCTTTCTTCTTTCTCTCTAATTTGAGTGTCAATGATATTTTGGTCTATATTTTCATCCAATATATTTTTTAAATTATCACTAAGAATATGATTCAATTATATTAGTGTCAACTATTTTCAACAATAGCTGAGAATATGGAGTAACTGTATGGAATTATGGAATCAAAGCCCTTTATGAAAAAAGTAAAAGCCACGAAGAGCCAGCAGTAGTGTACCAGCTGAAGAATGAATGAGGTTGAAATTGGATATTCAACATGTGCTGTGAGAAACCCTGGAAATCTCAGTGCATCAAGAGTCTGATACATCCACTGGAGAAGTCCATCTTACTCATGTTGGACTTTAAATATAATGAAAATGTAAAAGGAATGGATGCATTTTATCTACTATGAACAAAAAATTTAAGAATAAAAAAATTTCACCTTGACACTCAGCAATTGTTAAATGTAAATGTTGAAAAGTGCATTAGAGATGTACAGGGAAGATAATCAAATAAAATGTAAATAACATTCTAAAACAAACATAAGCAAGGAGCATATGAGGGAAGCAACCATCCCATGGAGAGTTTTGATACTATCTCAGAAATAGAATATTTTTCTGCAAGGAATATAAATAAAATATAAAATATTATGTTTTTATGAAATGGATCTATATCTAAAAGAAATGTTCTTCTTGAAATAGTCTTATTGAAATAGACAGATCCTGGTTTCTGTGACCTACCAATGTTATTTGAGTCAGTTTTAAGCTACCTTATAATATTGCCTACAAAAATTGTCTCAATCCCACAATCTCAATGAGATTCACAACAGGGTGAAACACTTATTTTCATTTTATTTATTTTAATATATTCAGAAAATTTCTTTTTTCCAAAGAAAGTTTGGCTGAGAAAATCTCACAGAAAATGTAATATTATTTAAATAGTTATTTGAATAAGTTGCAGCTTTCAGACCAGCACATTTGGAAGAACTTATAAGACCAAGAAAATCATGTGAGCCCAGTTGAGACTTACATGTGAGAATAAAAATGTAGACTAATATAAGAACCAACTTTGCTCCATAGCGGTTTAAACAACCGTGTGCAAAGCCAGAATCCCATATGTGGTGGGCTGAGCCCTTGATTCCCCCTTTTCCTCCCAGCTTCCTGTTATGCACCTGGGAATGCAGTTGAAGATGCCCCTTTGCACACGGCTCCTTTTACCAATGTGAGTGATGGCTAGAGTTATGACCTCTGATTTTGTCAGTTCCAATCTGGCTGCTGTGACCGTTTGTGGGGTGGGTGATCCAGTGGATGCTTTCTCTTCCTCCCTCTCCTTTCCTGCCTAAAACCACCTCCGTGTCTGTCTTGCCCTCACACTTTGTCACTTTGCCTTTCAAGTAAAAGTTTTTAAATGAAGATTGCCCCATGTCCCATCCATTATCCATGTATAACCGGGTTGATTATGATTCATCGAAAAAATGTTTTAAATCTTAATTTCAGGATTTTAGTTGAAATAACCACGTTTCAAATGCTCAGCGGGTACATATCAATGGTGGCACAGGGACAACACAAATATAGGACAGTTTCATAAGTTTAGAAGTTTCTCTAGGGTATTGGTTTTCTGGAATATAGGAACCTGGTGATGGAGAAGGAGACTTTGGCACAGCGGGTTAAGCCACTATTTCTGATGGTTGTATCTGAGTGCCAGGGATACAGTGTGATCTCCACTTCTGGTCCAGCTTGCTGCTTAAGTGTATTCCAGAAGGCAGAGACTACGGTTTAAGGACTTGTATCTCTACACCCATGTGGACAATGCTGAAGGATGATGCCCCTGGCTATAGCCAGCTCAGCTCTCGTTATTACCACCATTTGAGGGGTGAACCAGTAGGTGCAAGATTCTCTCTCTCTCTCTTTCTCACTCCCCACCTCTCACCCCCTCTCTGTCATCTTTCTAGTGAATAAAACTAAATATATTTTTTAAATGTTGACTTAATTAAAAAATAAGGTAGGAACATTAAGGAAGTCATCCATTTTGAGTACAGAAAAGTTGTGCAATGCCCTACTAAGAATTCCAATTTTGTCTTGATGACACTGGCAAGTGAGACAAGCTTTTAAACATGATGGCATATTTACATATTTGTTTTTAAATATTAGAAATAGTATAAATATGTGAATTGATGTCATTAGAGATAGGGGGATAAACTTGGAAAGACTCATAATGATTCAAAATGTAAATACCAGCATTGTACAACAGTGGCTAGGTTACCACTTACAAAGCCAATATCAGAGTGCAAGTTCAAGTTAATGTTGCATCATTGCAGAAATAGCATCCAGATAATGCTTTTGGAAAAGTAGTAGATAATGGCCATATACCGAAGTGAGAAACTGCAACTCAAGTGAGAAACCCTAATGGAATTCCTGGCTAAGAGCTTTCACCTGGTCCAAAAGGGGCAATTTGCATAGTAAAATAGTGGATAAAAGATCTCTGTCTTCTCTCTCTGCCTTTCAAAAAATAAATAAATCCTTATAATATATATCATTAAATAAGATATTACTAATGGTTGGAACCCTGATAATGAAATGGAAATAGTGGATGGGAAGTGTTTTCACATTCTGTTGTAGTTTTCGTTTCTTTTATCCCAACATTCACTCCACAACCCCTTTTCTGCAAAGAAAATCTCCCTTTTCAGTATATGCATAAACATTCACTGACCTTGAACAGTAGTAGAATAATGAAAACCTGCATCAATATATCATTTTTACAAATTAGAAAAATTCTTTTGTGTACTGGTACCTGGCAGTGTTCCCAGGCAGGATTATGGGATGTTCGTGAAATGTGGAGTTCAGAAAGAAGGTTATTTGAATATTTGCTAAGATTTTGCGAATGATGGGATGCTTTCAATAGATTGCACAGTCGTTTCATGTCAGTTGGGAAAATGGCTATGGGATATTCTTCTGCTTCCAGCTAACACACACCTTCAGGCTTTTCTTCTCACTGAAAGATCCATAGACTGTTCCAACTGGAAGGGTCTTCATGACTGAGTAAAACTCTTGTCTGAATAAAATACTTTTAATGGTCAGAAGATGTATGGCTTCAGCAAAGAAGGAGGAAAATTGAATGTGCAGATAAAGAATACAGTTCTCTAAGTGGAACTCTTCATTCCATGTTTCAAGAATTAAACTAATTTTAAACATTTCTACAT